GAGAGAGAGAGAGAGAGAGAGACGCGTCGCTTTGCTTGTCCTCACAACTGAGTTTCCCTGGGGACAGAAGAGTGTGAGTGTGTCTGTGTTGCAAAAAAAAGTCAACCTGCAACCCTCTTTAGGCATCGGGTGCAAAATAGCAAAACCACTGGATGTCCAGAGACTTTAAAGAGAAAGAAAAATGAAAAGAAAAAAGAGGGAGTAGAAATAAAGAGGGAAGAGAGAGAGAAAAAGGAGAAAGGGGGAAAAGACACAGAAGAAGGAGAAGGAAGAGAGAAAGACAGAAAAAAGGAAGAGATAAAAAGGAAGGGATGATGCAGAAAGAATGAGAGGAAAGAGGGAAAGATAGGGGGGAAAGAAGAGGGGAAGACAGAAAAGAGGAGAAGGAAGAGAGAAAGATATGAGAAGAAGGAGATGAAAGAGGGAAAGACTCAGAAAGAAGAAAAGGAAAGGGAGAAAGACAGAAAAACGAAGAGAGAAAGACACAGAAAGAAAGGGAAGGAAGAGGGAAAGACACAAAAAGAGAAGRGAGAAAGACAAAGAAAGAAARGGAAGGGAGAAAGACACAGACAGAAAGGGAAGGGGGAAAGATAGAAGAAAGGAGAGGGAAGAGAGAGATGTGAGAAAGAGAAAGACACAGAAAGAAGGAGAGGAAAGGGAGAAAGACAGGAAAAAGGAGAGGGGAGATAGAAAGATGTGAGAAGAAAGAAAGAGACTCAGAAAGAAGGAGAGGAAAGAGGGAAAGACACAGAAAGAAAAAGAAGAGTAAAAGACACAGAAATAAAAGGAAGAGAGAAAGACACATAAAGAAAGGGAATGAAGGAAGGGGAAAGACAGAAAAAAAAGAAGAGGAAGGAGAGAAAGATATGAGGAGGAGAGGAAAGAAAGACACAGAAAGAAGAAAAGGAAATGGAGAAAGACAAAAAAGGGAAGAAAGACACAGAAAGAAAGAGAAGGAAGAGGGAAAGACACAGAAAGAAAAGGAAGGGGGGAAGACACAGAAAGAAAGAGAAGGAAGAGGGAAAGACACAGAAAGAGAAGGAAGGGGAAAGACACGGAAAGAAAGGGAAGGAAGAGGAAAAGACACTGAAAGAGAAGAAAAGGAGAAAGATACAGAAAGAAAGGGAAGGAAGAGGGAAAGACACAGAAAGAAAGGAAAGGACACAGAAAGAGAAGGAAAGGAGAAAGACACAGAAAGAAAAGTTGGGAGGAGAGACAGAAATCAGAGCACTAGCTCCTCCAAAGAGAGAGACACGCGTGGCGTTGCCTGTCCCCACAACCGAGTTTTTTCCCCTTTGGGACAGAGTCGGGTGTCTATGTCGCAACATCAGGAGGCAACTCTGTTTATAACATAACCGGGAGAAAAACCGCTAAGCCATTGGAGGTCCAACTAAATGAGAAGAGAGAGGGGAATAAAAAGAAAGGGAGCAAAGAGAGAGAGAGAGAGAATACCGGTTTCTTAATGTAAGGCCTTTCCAAAAGCAAACCCTGGAATAAAAATGCTTTTCTCTGCCCTGGTTCCCTTTGGCGGTGCTGAAATCCCACAACCGGGGAGTTTCTCCCACTGAGGCTTTTCTCCTACCTGGCTCCTTTTGCGAAATCTCCAAAGATCTCCAAAGATCTTGTATTTTCCCCCTTGACTGGACTGGACACCACATTTTTTTCAAACCAAAGCAAACCCAAAACAGCCCTAGAAGGGAGAAAAGCCCCCCTCCCCCCCCCCAAAAAAAAAGAGCGGAAGGAAGGCGAGAGATAGATCCTCCTCGGCGTTGCTTCCAACCTCATGCCTCTCTCTCTCCCCGGTCCATCTTTGCGAGAGATGTGGCGATAACCACCTGGATGCTCAGCTATAAATCCCCTTTGCAAATAATAAATGGATTAATAATAACAAGGTATGAAGTTCTTTTTATAGAAGGGGGGAGAAAAAGGGAGAGAGAGAGAGAATTGAAACTAAATGCGGCAGTTAGACAACCATTTTGATAAGAGGATAATTGAGGCGACACTGGTGTATAATTAGAGGATAATTTATGCTATATCCACTTTTATTCCACCTCCCAAAATAAACCCAGTCCATAATCATTACAGGCAAATTGTTCTGAATTTTATAGCTGCAATTTTGAACAAAGTAGTGCAGTTAATCATGGGAGATTTTTTTCTCCCTCTCCCCTCATTTTGTGTGTGTGTGTGTATTCCTGATTAGAAGTCTAATTGCCTCCTTTCGGAAAGTGAAAAAAATAATCATATCTAACGCTATTTTTATCATTAGCCGTGTTGACAATAAAATAAAATCAACTGGAATTGTAATCGAAAGGCACATTTAGGGCGAAGGCACTTCTCCTCGGGTAGTTTATATTGCAATCAAGGTTTGCCAAACCACTAACCGCACGTCTCATTTGCATATTATTTGAAAGCATTTACAGGCGCTTCTGTTTGCAACGCGGATGGAGGGAAGGGGATGTATTCCTGTCGGATCTTGGAGGATTCGCCCTCAGAACACGGGCACAAATCGCGGTTTGGCATGTGATGGAATGTATACAGACCAAACATGAGCAAACTTGGGCCCTCCAGGTGTTTTGGACTTCAAGTCCCATAATTCCTGGCCTGAGGCCCCTTCCTTTTCCCCCTCAGCCGCTTAAGCGGCTGAGGGGGAAAAGGAAGGGGCCTCAGGCCAGGAATTATGGGACTTGAAGTCCCAAACACTTGGAGGGCCCAAGTTTGCCCATGCCTGACATAAACACATATAGACACTCACTTGTGTCTATATATGTGGTTGGATATATATAATCTCTCTCTCTTGGGCTGTTCCCGAGTGCAGCTTTTGTTCCGCTGCTGTATACACAAAAACACACAAAACACACACACACATAAAGCGCCCGCCGCTCTGGTTGGCTGCTTCTGGGTCGCTCTCTCCGGCTTTGAAGTTGTTGCAAGCCCAAGACGGTGGCCTCCCGGGCTGGCGCGCGCGCGCCAGTAGAACTGCCCGGGCTTTGGTGACGTCAGGCGCGGAGTGACCAATCAGGAGCAGCTGCCCTTTGGAGAGGCCAACCATGCGACTCGTGGGCTTTTCTTTTTTCTCTCTGTTTAAATGTTATGGTTCTAGGTCTATGTCGCTCCCTGTGAGTGCGCGCGGGCGGGCGGGAGTGTGTGTGTGTGCCCGCGCGCCTTTGTGTTTTTGTGTTGCTGTCCTCCTCCTCTTTCTTTTTCTTTTTGTAAAGAGAAGCTCAACTTTTAATTAACCCTATATATGTGTGTGTGTAATGTTCGTTTGTGGGATTAACATAACTCAAAAACCACTGGACGAATTGACACCAAATTTGGACACAATACACCTATCTGAGCAACGAGTGACCATCACTCATAAAAACACTGGAAAACACAGCAGAAGCGACAAACATCACATTAACAACGCATGCACAAAACCACATATATATACGCAAACACACATATACATAAATATATATACACACATATACATAAATATATATACACATATATATACACACACAAAACACATATACACAGCCTGGGCCACAGCAACGCCTAGCAGGAGATGGCTGGTGTGTGTGTGTGTGTATGTATATATGTGTGTGTGTGTGTGTTCTCGAAGGCTTTCATGGACACAATACACCTATCTGAGCAACGAGTGACCATCACTCATAAAAACACTGGAAAACATAGCAGAAGAGACAAAAATCACGTGACAACGCATGCACAAAACCACATACACATAAATATATATACACACATATACATAAATACATACACACACATACATACACAGACAAAACACATATACACAGCCTGGGCCACAGCAACGCCTGGCAGGGGATGGCTGGTGTGTGTGTGTGTTCTCGAAGGCCTTCATGGCCGGAATCACTGGGTTGTTGTGAGTTTTCCGGGCTGTACGACCATATCCCAGAAGCACAGATAGATTTAGATGTGCAGAAAAGTTGCATATGTGTATATATGCAACAGATTTAGATGTGCAGAAGCCACTGAAGTAAAAATTAGATATGTGTATGTATGCAACCGCCTTAGGGACACTTCCTTTTGAATAATAAAAAATAATAATAAGGGGTTGCTGTGAGTTTTTCGGGCTGTATGGTCATGTTCCAGAAGCATTCTCTCCTGACGTTTCGCCTGCATCAATGGCAGGCATCCTCAGAGGTTGTGAAGGAGGTCTGTTTGAAACTAGGAAACTAGGAAAATGTGGTTTATATAACTGTGGGATGTCCAGGTTGGGAGAAAGAACTCTTGTTTGCTTGAGGCAAGTGTGAATGCTGCAGTGGATCACCTTGATTAGTCTTGCAGCTTCAAGGCTTGGCTGCTTCCTGCCTGGGGGAATCCTTTGTTGGGATGTGATTAGCTGGCCCTGAGAGTAAACTAGGAAAATGGGGCTTATATAACTGTGGAATATTCAGGTTGGGAGAAAGAACTCTTGTCTGCTTGAGGCAAGTGTGAGTGCTGCAATGGATCACCTTGATTAGCATTTAATAGTCTCGCAGCTTCAAGGCTTGGCTGCTTCTTGCCTGGGGAATCCTTTGTTGGGAGGTGATTAGCTGGCCCTGAGAGTAAACTAGTACAATGTGTGTGAGAGAGAGTTTAAAGCTGAGAGTGAAACATTCAACCTACCCCAAACAGACAAGCGTTCTTTCTCTCACCCTGGACATTCCACAGAGATATAAACCCTTGTGTCCGTGGRAGGTCCAGGGTGGGAGAAAGAACTCTTGTCTGTTTGGGGTAGATTGAATGTTTCACTTTAAACTCTCTCTTTAAACTCACACAAACAGAGAAAGAAATCGAATTCAATCCAAAAGGAAGGAAAAGGAACCAAACCCCAATGAGTAGTGAGGGAGGGAAAGAAAGAAAGTGGGAAGGAAGGCAGGAAAGGTGGGAAAGGAGAGCGAGAGAGTGAAAGAGAAAACTCCCAAGTTGGGAATGGAGAGGAAGGTGGGGGGGGGGGGGGGGGAAAGAGGCGGAAAGGCCCAAGCAGAACTAGGTTCTGCCTTCCTGCCCCCCTCTTCCCTTCCTCCTTTCCCTTCCCCTCTCTCCTCTCTCTCCTTTCCCCGCTCTCCCTCCCCGGCTGCTCTCACACTCCTCCTCCCCTCCCTCAGTTAACAAGGCCCCTCTCCCCCTATTGCTCGCGCGCTCCTCTCCTCTCCGCTCCGCCGCTGGCTCGCGCCTTTTCCTCCCCCCTCCCCTCCCCTCCCTTCTCTCTCTCTCTCTCTCTCTCGCTCACACACACACACCTTCAAACACACACACACACACACTGAAAAGAAGGAGAAGGGAGGAATGTTTTGTGTTTTGTTGAAAAAAGAAAGAATGTGAGAGAGAAGAGAGAGGAGGAAAAGAGGAAGCGGGGAAAGAAGAAAGAGGAGGAGGAGGAAGAGAAGAGGAACAGCAGCAGCAGCAGCAGAGGCACCAGGGAGGCACTTGGTGGCTGCCTCGCCCGCCTTGGATGATGACCATGACTACGATGGCGGAGGGGCTGGAGGCGCAGGACTCGTCCAAGTCCGCCTTCATGGAGTTTGGGCAGCAGCAGCAGCAGCAGCAAACAACGGCGCCTCCGCAGCCTTCCGGGACACAAGCGCCCGGAGGCTCCTCTCAGCAGCAGCAGCAGCAGCAGCAACAACAAGCTCAGCCTCAGCAGCAGCAGCAACAGCAGCAACAGCAGCAGCAACAACAACCTCCTCCGCCGCAGAGCTCCCCGGCGTCGGCGATGGCGGCGGGCGCTCACTACCCGCTCCACTGCCTCCACTCCACGCCACCGGCCTCGCACTCCCACCACTCGCACCACCAGCACCATCCGCCGCACCCCACCCACCACCACCACCACCACCCGCACCACCACCACCACCACCACGCCGCGCCCTACTCCACGGCCGCGGCGGGGACGGGACCCGGAGGCGCCAACTCCTACAGCCACCGCTCGCTGGCCGCCGCCGCCGCCGCTGCCGCCGCCGCCTACCCCTACGTGGGCCACGCGCAACACAGCCCCTACCTCCAGCCCTACCACCAGGGCGGCGGAGCGGGCGGAGGAGGCGGAGGAGGGAGCGGAGGGGGAGTGGGCCAGGCCAGGCCCGACGACGCAGGTGGGTCCGAGCGGAGGCCTTCCTGCCTGCCCTCCTTCCATCCATCCTTCCTGCCTTCCTTTGTTTCACTCCCCACTTCCCCTCTCGCTTTGCTTCCCTTCTCCATCCCCGGCTTCATCCTCTCCTCCTTTCCTTCCTTGCCGCTTTCTTTTCTTCCTTCCTTCCTCCTTTCTCTCCTTCTTGGGGCCCTTCCACACAGCCCTACATCCCAGAATACCAAGGCAGAAAATCCCACAATATATGCTTTGAACTCTGTTATCTGGGGGCCTTTCCACACAGCCCTGCATCCCAGAATACCAAGGCAGAAAATCCCACCTTATCTGAGTGTGGACTCGGATAACCCAGGGCACTTCCACACAGCCATATAACCCAGAATATCAAGGCAGAAAAATCCCACTTTCTCGGAGGCCCCTTCCACACAGCTGAATAAAAATCCCGCTTTATCTACTTTGAACTGGGATATATGGCAGCGTGGACTCAGATAATCCAGTTCAAAGCAGATATTCTGAGATTTTCTGCCTCTATATTCTGGGTTATACGGCTGCTTGGACAGACCCTATGTGTGGACTATATGTGGCCCTATGTATGGACCCAGGGCACTTCCACGCAGATCTATCAACCCAGAATATCAAGGCAGAAAATCCCACAATATGTGCTTTGAACTGGGTTGTCTGGGGGCCCTGGAATATCTGGCAGTGTGGACTCAGGGTCCTTCCATACAGCCCTATATCCCAGAATATCAAAATCCCAMGTTATCTGACTSTGGAKTTAGATAACCTAGTTCAAAGCAGATACTGTGGGATTTTCTGCCTTGATATTCTGGGTTATAGGACTCTGTGGAAGGACCCTGAGTCCACACTGCCATATATTCCAGTTCAAAGCAGATAATGTGGGATTTCCTGCCTTGATATTCTGGGATATAGGGTTGTGTGGAAGGGCCCTTGGTTCCCCTTCTTTCTTCCCTCCTTTCTCGCTTTGTCTTTCAAGAGTCCATCCTTCGCTTTGCCCCCCCCCCCACCTTCGCTCTCCCCTTTTTCCTTCTTTCTTGCTTCCTTCTCTCTTCCTTGTTTCTCCTCTTCCCTTCCCGCTTTCTCCACTTCCTTCTATTGTCCTCTGCTCCCTTTTCTCTTCTTCTGCCCCTCCTGACCCCTTTTCCATTCTTTTCATGCTTTCTTTGGAGCCCCCCTTTTGCAATGGGTTAAACCCTTGTGGCGGCAACGTCCTTGTAGACAGCCAGTTCTCTCACATCAGAAGCTACTTGCAGTTTCTCAAGTAGCTCCTGACACGAATTAAAATGCTTTGATTTCCTCTCCCCCCCCCCTTTCCTACTTCCTTCCTTTTCTCTTATTATGTCTCTCATGGCCCCTTTTTCTTTTCAATTCATTTCATGGAAGCCCTCCTAGCGCAATGGGTTAAATCTGCGGACTGCTGACCGACAGGTCGGAGGTTGGAATGAGTGAGTGCCCACAGTCAGCTCCAGCTCCCCATGCAGGGACATGAGAGAAGCCTCCCACAAGGATGGTAAAACACCAAACATCCAGTCCCCTGGGCAACCTCCTTGCAGGCAGCCAATTCTCTCTTGCAGTTTTTCAAGTTGCTCTTGACACAAAAAAGCTTTCATTTCTTCTTCCCCCTCCCTTCCCGCTTCCTTCCTTTTCTCCTTGCCTCTTTGTTTTTTTATTATTATTATTATTATTCCTTTATCGCTTTCCCATTCCTTCCCTCTTTTCTTCCTCATCCCTATAATTGCAGTTCCCCTTTGCTTCTTCTTGGGTGCCTTCGAGTTTCGGTCTTTCCATGTCCACCCCTTCACTTTGCTTCCCTATCGCTCTTTCATGCCTTCTTTGCCTTTCCTACTTCCCTACTTCATTCCTCCTTTCCTACTACATTCTCTCCCTTGTTCTCTGGCTTTGCCATCCCTTTCTTTGCCTTCCTCTTTCCTTCCTTCTTGCGTCCTTCTTTTCCTCTTTCTTTTCCATTTCCTGGTTGTTTTCCCTCCTTCTTTTTCTTCCCCCTTTCCTGCTCCCTTCCTCCCTATAAGTCAAATCCCCATTTACTTCTTCTTTGTTTATTTCAATTCTATCCTTTTCTTGTTTCCTTCTTTTTCTTCTTCTGGCGCCAGTCTTTGCCTCTTGCTTTCCCATTCCCTTTTGGCTTTCCTTCCTTCTTTCCCGCAAGCCAAATTCCCACCTTGCTCGGTCCCTTCATTCGGAAAGTCCATCCCCCTCCTTTCCGTGGGGTTTCACCCTTTAATAGAGCTCTCTTCCTTTGGAAGCCCTTTCTCTTGCCTCCGGGAGCCTCAGCAAACCAACTTCCCACGCGCGGATCTGTCCCGCGTGGATCTTTTTTCCCGGGAGGCCGCCCGGCGCGTGGTTTCCGTGCCTCGGGGCCATTCCCACGCGCCTCCTCCTTGTTCCTTAGCTTAACCCCGTCGGCCTCCTCCTCCGTGGCCGTCTGAAGGTGGAATAGGAGTGTAATATGTTGGTGTATATTTTCCTTCGAGATTTATTCGCGTGGCCCGCCGTGGTGAACTTTTCTGGCGGAAGGGCTCCTCCAAAGGGCGAGCGGGCCTTTTCCTTCCCAGGCCAAGACTAAGCAGGGCAAGGCCGCTTCTATGGTGGCTTAATGCAGGACGAAAGCGAGTTAAGATCTGACTTAGCACCCGCAGGGGAAAAAAACTCGATAGGTTGCTCCTGGTCGTGGTCTTTTCCTAGAGGGAGGGTGTGTTTCTAACACAGTTTATTCCACTTGTTCCCAACCATTGTCTATATATCGGAGGCACACCATCATCTGCCCCAAAATAACTCCCTCCCCGCTTAGTCAGTGCTCCAGTGTGGCCCTTAGATTGCCATTCTCAATATTGCCATCGAGGATACTTCGGATCCTTCTTTCTTTCTCACTCTCTGTAGGATCAATCAGCCTGTGTTTATGAATCTCTGGGTTCCATCTCTCTTTCTCCCTCTCTGTGGATCAACCAAGCGGTCTTTGTGGTATGTGAATGTTGAAGGACATTGGACTAGAATCTCATCTTTGGGTGTATCAATCAACCTGGGTTTGTGAATGAGTAAGAGCTGTGTAAATACCGAAGGACATTCAGGTAGAATATCCGTATCTTTGGGTGTACAGGGGGAAAGGGGCAACTCTGTGTATGTGTGTGTGTGTAAAGATAAGGAGATTCTAAATATTTGCACACACCTTTATTCCAACATTGTGTGTGTGTGTGTGTGTGTAGAGAGAGAGACGCACACAGAGCCGCCTTCTCCCCTACAGTAAAAGAGAATGTATGTATGTATGTATGTATATATATATATATATATGTGTGTGTGTGTGTGTGCGCGTGCATGTGTGTGTAGAGATAAGGAGATTCTAAATATTTGCACACACCTTTATTCCAACATTATGTATATGTATATGTATGTGTATGTGTATGTGTATAGACACACGCACACAGAGCCGCCTTAAACTAGAAGGGAATGTATGTATGTATGTATGTATGTATGTGTATATATGTATATATTTGTATGCGTGCATGTGTGCGTTGAGATAAGGAGATTCTAAATATTTACACATACCTTTATTCCAACATTATGTATATGTGTATGTATATGTAATATATATATAGACACACGCACACAGAGCTGCCTTTTCCCACTGTACAATAAAGGGAATATATGTATGTGTATATATGTATATGTGTGTGTGTGCATGTGTAACGATACGGAGATTCTAAATATTTGCACACACCTTTATTCCAACATTATGTATATATAATATATGTATGTATGCATATATGCATATATATACATACAGACACACACACTAAAAGGGGATGTGTATATGTATATGTGTGTGCATGTGTGTGCGAGAAGATAAGGAGATTCTAAATATTTGCACACACCTTTACTACAAATTATATATATGCATGTATGTAAGTATATGTATATGTATAGGCACAAACACAGAGCCGCCTTTTCTCCCTGTACACTAAAAAGAAATTTGTATGCATGTGTGTATATATGTGTGTATATGTATGTATATGTATATATGTGTGTATGTATATTTATATACATATATATACACACACTCATATATATATATATACACACACACACATATATATATATACACACACACATACAAAAAAGTAAAATGTAGCAGTCTCAACTACCTTACAGGGTTGTTTTATATGTGTGTGTGGAAATGAATGGGTGGAACAAGAGAGATAATTTGTTGTTGAAGCAAAATAGTGCCTACAATAAGTTTACCAGGCCTCTGGAATAGGAGTCATCGACCAAAACTATGTGGGAAAGATATTGGACGCAAAGGTGAATCCCAAAGTGACCCCAGAAAGGCCTGATAGATAGGCCAGTGGTTTGGCCCATATTTCCTCATACTCTTTTAGTAATGGAATAGGAGCGGATTTGTTGCGAGATGGTCACATAGAAACCGAAGAGGAACCACCAAGGACAGGTCTGGCCACCTCCTTTCCAACCTACTTGTCCTTTTGATTTCAGATCAGCAAAAGACGACAGTCATCGAAAACGGGGAGATCAGATTTAATGGGAAGGGGAAGAAGATCCGGAAGCCTCGCACCATTTACTCCAGCCTCCAGCTGCAGGCTTTGAACCACCGTTTCCAACAGACCCAGTACCTGGCGCTTCCCGAGAGAGCAGAACTGGCAGCCTCACTAGGACTGACTCAGACACAGGTAAACACCATTCCTGGGAGGGACCCAGGCCTTTGTCATCCTGGACAATATAACTGGCAGCCCCTTTCCCAAAACAACACCATGGTTTCCAACCAACAGAGCTGGAGGTCAAACATGGGTGAAGCCAAAACAAAAAACAAACCCCAAGTGTCATGTTTATATTCCTTTGCTTGGTGTATCTGACTTTTGTGAAGGTTTGGGTCCACCAGTCCAAAATATAGACATTGATTTGTCCTGTTACAAAGGAGAGAGATTTGACATGGTTGGTTTTATATATATACACACACAGCCTCCGGGGCCCCAGAGAAAGCACACCTCCCTTAGTAATATTCAATAGTAAATTATCCTGGATGAGTAAGTGGAATTCAGTGGGTGCCCTGAGGCGAAATGTTCAGAAGGTGACGAGAGAGCTGTGGATCAAAGGGAAGCGTGTAGAAAATTAGAGGAAGTTAAGCCACAGTTAAATGTGGTTGGTTGATTTCCCTGCAAATATAAGCCCGAATGACACACATACAACTAAAGTGATGATTTGCATTCACAACTAGAAGTTTCTTTGGGTATTTTTTAAATATCATGGTAGCATTTATATATTCTGGCACAAAAATGGAGAGAGATATCTCCTGCATGTGTTTTTGGGGAAGCTAGTAAGAAAAAATATATACTATTTGGGAGGCTGGATAACTTGTGTGGAGGCAACGTTGCAACGTTGCTGTTGTTTTTTAAAGGACATGGAAGTGTAAGTACAATATGACTTTAGTCTTTGGAAAGCTGGACCTATATGAGATAGGTTCATTTTATTTATGTATGTATTTATTTTTGTATGGTACACAATTCTTTGAAATGGTTGCAAAGGTTCAGTAGGTTTATCGAAGGCTTTCATGGCCTGAATCACTGGGTTGTTGTGAGTTTTCGGGGCTGCATGGCCATGTTCTACAAGCATTCTCTCCTGACCTTTTGCCTGCAACTATGGCAGGCATCCTCAGAGGTTGTGAGAGTTTTCAAGGTTGTATGGTTATGTTCCAGAAGCATTCTCTCCTGACGTTTCGCCTGCATCTATGGCAGGCATCCTCAGAGGTTGTGAGAGTTTTCGGGGCTGAATGGTTATGTTCCAGTAGCATTCTCTCCTGACGTTTCACCTGCATCTATGGCAGCCAACTCGCCCAGCTAATCACCTCCCAACAAAGGATTCCCCAGGCAGTGAGAAGCCAGACCTTGTAACTACTTGGCCATTAAATGCTATTCAAGGTAGCCAATTGCAACATTCACACCTACTTCAAACAGAAAAGAGTTCTTTCTCCCACCCCGGATGTACCACAGATATATAAACCCAATTTTCCTAGTTTCCAACAGACCTTACAACCTCTGAGGATGCCCGCCATAGATGCAGGCAAAACGTCAGAAGAGAATGCTAGCTTTTCTTTGTCAAATTCGGCCTAGCTTTTCATTTCCCCTTCATGCAAAGACTCCTTTCGTCGGTGCTATTCTTGGGGGCTTTCCTTAAAGACACGGGGGTGGTTTTCCAGGCCTTTCCTGCGCCCTGGGAAGTGGGATGCTGGAAATGCTCCGTTCCCCATCATGCAGGACTTCTTTGTAGGTCAGATTGGAATCCAGCAAAAGTGACCTACTGAAGCCAATCCCCAGACCGTTTTTGAGACTGCTTTGAAGGCCTTCTCTTAACATGGAAGGCCCCCTTCCCTCCGTTTTCCAGATCTAAGGGACTGTGGGGGTTTTTGTGTGTGTGTGCCAGGAGCCTCAAGTCGCTTCTGGTGTGAGAGAATTGACCGTCTACAAGGACGTGTCCCACAGGACGCCCGGATCCTGTGAGAGGCTTCTCTCATGTCCCTGCATAAGCAGCTGGAGCTGACAGAGGGGAGCTTACCCCTCTCCCCGGATTCGAACTGCCGACCAGTCTGTCAGCAGTCCTGCCAACCCAAGGGTTTAACCCATTGCACCACCGGAGGCTCCCAGGGACTGTGGTGAAGCTTCTGAATCTGTGTGTTTAGGAGGGCATCTTTGTCTCATTGAAATGCATGGTGTCAGTGGTTGCAGAAGTCTCGGAATTGGGGCGATTGGTGTAATGGTTGAGCATTGGAGTCTGGAGACAATTGGGTCATCACCCAATGGTCTCCAGAGCTTGAGCTGGGTGACTTTGGGCGAGTCATACTCGTTCAGCCCCAGGGCCAAACCCCCTTGGAACAAATCTTGCCTGGTTGGGCAACCCTGGATAGGCTGAAAGGCAGACAACAACAAAGAAAGCCCAGGGGGAGCTTAAGCTGGGGCTGGCAGTGGAGGTGTCTGTGGGACAGCAATTCCCATCAGCCCCCACAACTCCAGTTGCAGAGTATGGCCAATGAAGTCTGAAGTCTAGGGAGGCCACAACGGCTCACCCCTAAGCCAAAGGATGGTTGAAGGGAAGAGGTGGAAGGGAAAACCAAGTATCCAAACTACGTGCCCTGAACCTGCTCCCACTCCCATCATTCTAAAAGGGTAATTACCTGCTGGTAATTATGCCAGGCGTTGGAGACCCGATGCCTATCGGATCTTGCCCACGTCGGCAGACTTGTCTACTTGCGTAGGTGACTTTAAATGGATGCATGGAAAATAAAGGGACAAGAATGCGCGACTGCGTTGTTAACTGTCCCAGAGAAGGGAATGTCCTTTGAAAGAGAGAGAAAAACAAGCCGAAATGCGAGGCACAAAGGTACCCAAGCAGGCCTGAATGGAAGGCGGTTGAAACAATGGCAGCAAAAGAGAAGGGGGGGGGGGCACAGCAGTAGAGGGTTGGGTATAGTGGGAACCAGAGGGAGGGGGGAGGAAGGGAGAGAAGGAAGGGAAGAAGAAAGGGAAGAAGGGAGGAGGGAAGAAAGGAAGGAGGAAAAGAGGAAGGAGAGGGAGTAGGAGCGAGAAAGGGAAGGAGGGAAGAAGGAAGGAAGAAGGATGGGTGGGTGGGTGGGAAGAAAGGAAGGAGGTAGGGAAGGGAGGAAATCGAAGGAAGAGTGGAAGGAAGAAATCCTCCTCCTTGGAGTCTCTTCCTTTATTGGTCTCCCTTTGTCTGCTTTCCTTCATCATCTGGGTCTCTTCCTTTCCCTCTTTGGCTCTCTTCCTTTCCCCTTTGGGTTTCTTCCTTCCCCTTATGGATCTCTTCCTTTAGTGCTCTTCCTTCCCCCTTTGGCTGTCTTCCTTCATCCTCTAGATTTCTTCCTTCCCCTTTTGGTCTCCTCCTTTAGTGCTCTTCCTTCCCCCTTTGGTTTTTTCCTTCTCCCTTTGGTGCTCTTCCTTCCTTCGTCGTCTCGCTCTCTTCCTCCCCCCTTTAGTGCTCTTCCATCTCTCTTTAGGTCTCTTACTTCCCCCTTTGGTTCTCTTCCTTTACTGCTCTTCCTTCCCCCTTTGGGTTTCTTCCTTCTCCCTTTGGTGCTCTTCCATCCCCCCCCCCTTTAGGTCTCTTACTTCCCCCTTTGGTTTTCTTCATTTACTGCTCTTCCTTCCCCCTTTAGATCTCTTCCTTCAACCTTTGGATTTCTTCCTTTAATGCTCTTCCTTCCCTCTTTGGGTTTCTTCCTTACCCCTTTGGTACTCTTCCTTTCTTTATCCTGTGGATCTCTTCCCCTCCCCCCTTTTGGTGCTCTTCCTTCCTTCCTTCCTTCCTTCCCCCTTTAGGTCTCTTCCTTCCACCTTTGGGTATCTTCCTTTAGTGCTCTTCCTTCCCCCTTTGGGCGACTTCCTTAAGGTCTCTTCCTTCCCCCTTTAGGTCTCTTCCCCTTTGGGTCTGTTCCTTTAGAACTCTTCTTTCCCCCTTTGGTGCTCTTCCTTCCTTCCCCCTTTAGGTGTATTCCTTCCCCTTTTGGATCTCTTCCTTTAGTGCTCTTCCTTCCCCCTTTGGCTGTCTCCCTTCACCTTCTGGGTGCCTTCCTTCCCCCTTTGGCTCTCTCTCCCCGTTGACTTTGGGATGGGCTCTGTGCATGGCTCTGATGTCTCTCTTGCCTCCTCTGCTCGCAGGTGAAGATCTGGTTCCAGAACAAGCGCTCCAAGTTCAAGAAGCTGCTGAAGCAGGGCGGGAACCCCCACGAGAGCGACCCCCTGCCCGGCTCGGCCACCCTCTCCCCGCGCTCCCCGGGCCTGCCTCCTGTCTGGGACGTTTCGGCCTCTGCCAAAGGCGTCAACATGCCTCCCAGCAGCTACATGCCGGGCTATTCTCACTGGTACTCTTCTCCACATCAAGACACAATGCAGAGACCGCAGATGATGTGAGCGGGCCAAGAGAAACACGCCGTTCCGGGAGCAGCCCGCCCGCCCGCCCGCCCGCCAGCCTGGCCCCGCCGAGAAAGAGGGAAAGAGAGAGGGCCGATCGCGGGTTTGGGGGGCCCATGGGGCGCTGTGCGGCCGAGGGAGACAGACTGGGGCTTGGCCTCCCCCTTCCCTTGAACCTCAGCGATTGATCTTGAACTGAGAGCCACATCAGATGCTCGCTTTGGGATATTTCTACCGCGACTCGGAGGCAACAACCCTCCCTAGGAGTATAAATCCAGGCGCAAAGCAAACAACAACAACAATCCCAAAACAACCAGAAGTGGAGTGGACGGGAGGGTACACACTTTCCCCACCAGTCCACGCAGCAACATTTTTAGGGCTTTTTTTTAAAGGAAACAAAAAGGCTGGAGGAGTCAGACGTGTCTAATTCACTGAGGACCATTGCAAGCAGCAGACTCCCTCCTGCTCCCTCCAAGTGGAACTGATAACCGGCTGCGAAGACGAATCCAATCTGTCTCACTTTTTTCGAGGCTGTACATTCCCTGACATAACCCTGGCGCCTAGAAATTGGCCAAGAAATCCGCCTCCGCGCCTCCTATTATCAAAGTTCGGGGACTTTCGGACTATAAATCCCCAAATCCCCCAATCGCATCTCCACCGGGTTGGAGATTCTGGGAGTTGCCACCATCACATACACACAAAATAACTTTCCTGAGTTTTTCCCATTACGGGGAAAGAGCAAGAGGGGAAGACAAAAAATAATAACCCCACTCGGATCCTAAAGCTCAAGTCCCACCTTGTCAATCTTCTCGGTCCCTTTCGCTGCCGAGCAAACCTGTTGTACATATTGTTGAATTTTAGTTGTACATATCCTTTGTATGTTTTGTCTCCTTTCATATAGAGAGTAAAAGCCAGAAAACGCCCAAGAGAGTCCTGCTTTTGTGTTGTCTAAGAAATCATTGGGTTGTGAATTTTCTGGGCTGTATGGCCATGTTTCAGAAGCATTCTCTTCTATGGCAGGCATCCTCAGAGGTTGTGATGTTTGTTGGAAACTAGGAAAACAGTTTCCAACAAACTGTTTGAAGTAGGTGTGAATGTTACACTTGGCTACCTTGATTAGCGTTTAATGGCCTAGCAGTTTCAAGGTCTGGCTTCTCACTGCCTTGGGAAATCCTTTGTCGGAAGGTGATTAGATGGGTGAGTCACCTGCCATAGATGCACGTGAAACGTTAGGAGAGAATGCTTCCAGAACATGGCCATACAGCCCTGAAAACTCTCACAACTTCTGAGGACGCCTGCCATAGATGCAGGCGAAATGTCAGAAGAGAATGCTTCTGGAACATGGCCATACAGTCCGGAAAACTCACAACAACCCTGCCCTGCTGTTCTCTATGCTTGGAAAGCCTCTTTCTCCTCTGCCTTCCCATTATCCAAGCGGGCTAGTTATGAAGTAAACCCTAAAAAGCGTTTAGTTGGTTCTATATCAGGCCTGGGCAAACTTGTCCCTCCTGGTGTTTTGGATTCGACTCCCACAATTCCTAACAGCAGGTAAACTGGCAGGGATTTCTGGGAATTGAAGTCCAAAACATCTGGAGGGCCGAAGTTTGCCCATGCCTGTTCTCTATTAATAGACAGTTGATCTTCCTGAAAGAGAGCAGCCCTAATAATCTATGCATATAGACCTTCTTGAGAGTCAACATGCTCTAGGAAATAGGGGAAAATAATCTATTAAATGGTGAGAATACAGAGAGAGGGCCCTATATTTTCTCTACCCACAGCTTTGTCTGTGGGCAGATGCTGAGCCATGACAGACTAATAGAGAAGCAAAACACCTCCCAAAATTGTGTCTGGCTTTACCACTCTTTCTTTATTATCTAATAGACCAAATTGGGACAAAAGTAAGAGGAATCTGAGCTGATTTGTATTTTTTACCTTTTCGGAGAGGGATCCTTTCTTGAATTAATGTTTGACAAATAATACAGTTTGAACTGCATTATATGGTTCTACAAGAGGCATGGGCAAGCTTGGGCCCTCCAGGTGTTTTGGATTTTGTTGGGAATCAGAGCTGTTAGGGTCAAAAAATAACCCTCATTTGGGGTGATTCCTCCAAAAATATAGCAGAGTGCTAGAAGCAGAAACTTACAGTGTGGTGAGTCAGAATTAGCTTCCATTCAACAGAATGGTACAGGATTACAGAGACAAAACTTTAGGTTCAAAATATTTATTCAAGTAAAGAGAAATCCATTGTAGATAGAAAAGGTCTTGGAGTTAACTAGCATATTAGGCTCATCTTCTAAGGAAGGTAAAAGGATAAAATATCAAAGATATTCATGCAGCTACATTTTGCCTGGAGAAAGGCAAAATGCTCCTCACTGGAAGAGAGACAAAGGCAGAGAGAGGCAATGGAGAATGACCACATGGTCAAAACCCAGGGCAATGAAAATATCTTTAAAGAGGAAGTTACCTCATCCCTCACAGAGATTCCATTGCTACATTCTAAAATGGAGGAGAAGATAGTGGCAAGCAAGAAGAGTAAATGGCATGCATAGGAATGTGGAGAAAGGAATCCCTCACTGTCTAATCCTATATCTAAGTCTAGCTATTCATTGAGGACTGGAGACTTGTGCAGTCCAGGGATGAAACCCAACAGATTTCAACAGCCTCAGGTGCCTTCCTTTCCCTCCTCAGCCGTTTAAGTGAGAAAGGGAAAAGGGAAAGGAAGGGGCCCAAGGCTGTTAGGAATTGTAGGAGTTGACGTCCAAAACACCTGGAGGGCCCAAGTTTGTTCATGCCTGGTCTACATTAGCCCATATAGTGCAGTCCACATTGCATTAGAAGTTATAACGCACAGCCTAAATTAGGCCTGCTCCTCGGGTTCTTCGAGGCGCTGATTAAATTGCATTGGATAGACCACATCAACTCAAGTCTCTTAGATATCGTGTACTTAGTAAAAACCATATGTTCTGTATCTCAAAAACTAGAGCTGATGGGGAAAAACTGGTTACATTTTTTGAATTAGTAGGTCAAATATACCCAGAAAGAGGCATCAAAATGTCTGTTGGCCTGTGATGGAGAACCAACATTTTTTAATATTATTCTTATGAGATTTGGTGGATTGGTTGGAAAGGAAGCTTCAGGAAAGCCATCCAAACCCTATTCCTAAACTTTCTGGACTAGTTGGAAGGCTTCCCTATGCAACCCAAAGACTGAATAGCTTTTGTCTGAAGGGGAATTGTGGTTATAGAATCTGTGGTTGGGAGTGATCTACACCAGGCCTGGGCAAACTTGTGCCCTCCAGATGTTTTGGACTTCTACTTCCACCATTCCTAACAGCCTCAGACCCTGTCCTTTCCCCCCTCAGCGGCTTAAAAAAAAAAAGGAAGGTGCCCGAGGCTGTTAGAAATGGTGGGTGTTGAAGTCCAAAGCACCTGGAGGGCCCAAGTTTTCCCAGGCCTGATCTACACTGATCCGAAATCCGGAAGGAAACCAGCATATAGGAAAGGATTTTCCTATTGTCGAAGGCTTTTATGACCGGAATCACTGGGTTATAGTGAGTTTTCTGGGCTGTATGCCCAGGTTTCTGTAGCATTCTCTTCTGAGGTTTCACCCGCATCTATGAGAGGCATCCTCCGAGTTTGTGAGGTCTGTTGGAAACTAGGATAATTGGGTTAATATATCTGTGGAGTGTTCAGGGTGGGAGAAAGAACTCTCGTTTGTTTGAGGTAGGTGTGAACATTGAGGTAGGTGTGAACACATACCACAGATATATAAACCCCATTTGTCTAGCTTCCAACAGACCTCTGAAGATGCCTGCCATAGATGCAAGCCAAACATCAGGAGAGAATACTCCTGGAACTTGGCAATACAGCCCGGAAACCTCACAAGCCAGAAAGGATCTTCATTTGCAAGTCCTGGAACTGTTCAGGAAGGTGTCAATACACCCTTGCTTTCTATCATCAAGTCTTCCTCCCAAGGCAGGTAGGTGTGAACCTTGAGGTAGGTGTGAACACATGCCACAGATATATAAACCCAATTTTCCTAGTTTCCAACAGGCCTCACAACCTCTGAGGAATTTTTTTTCATGCAGAAATTGCAAGTTGCTCCTGGTGTGTGAGAGAATTGGCAGTCTGCAAGGAGGTTGCCCAGGGACGCCCCGGGTGTTTGGTGTTTTACCATCCTTGTGGGAGGCTTCTCTCCTGTCCCCGCATGGAGAGCTGGAGCTAACAGAGGGAGCTCTCCCCGGATTTGCAGGGGCTCCACTTCTGAGGATGTCTGCCATAGATGCAGGCGAAACGTCAGGAGAGAATGCTTCTGGAACATGGCCATACAGGCCAGAAAACTCACAACCACCCAAAAAAGGATATTCATTTGCAAGTCCTGGAAGTGGTCAGGAGGGTGTCAACACACCCTTGCTTTCTATCATCAAGTCTTCCTCCCAAGGCAGGTAGGTGTGAACCTTGAGGTAGGTGTGAACCTATTACACAGACATATAAACCCCATTTTTCTAGTTTCCAACAGACCTCACAAACCTTGAGGATTTTTTTCCGTGTCAGGAGCCACTTGAGAAACTGGCGTGTGAGAGAATTGGCTGTCTGTAAGGACACCCTTGCTCTCTATCATCAGGTCTTGCTCACAACGCAGGTAGGTGTGAACCTTGAGGTAGGCGTGAACATATTCCACATATATGTCAACCCAAGTTTCCTAACTTCCAACAGACCTCACAACCTCTGAGGATCTTCTTTCAGTATCAGGAGCTACTTGAGAGACTGCAAGTCGCTTCTGGTGTGAGAGAGAATTGGTGTCTGTAAAGACACCCTTGCTTTCTATCATCAGGTCTTGCTTTCTATCATCAGGACTTGAGAAACTGCAAGTCACGTCTGGTGTGTGAGAGAACTGGCTTTCTGTAAGGACACCCTTGCTTTCTGTCAACAAGTCTTGCTCCCAAGGTAGGTAGGTGTGAACCTCGAGGTAGGTGTGAACCCATTCCACAGACATATAATAAACCCATTTTCCTAATTTCCAACAGACCTCACAGCCTCTGAGGATCTTCTTTCAGTGTCAGGAGCCACTTGAGAAACTGCAAGTCGCTTTTGGTGTGGGAGAAAATTGGCGTCTGTAAGGACACCCTTACTTTCTATCATCAGGTCTTGCTTTCTGTCATCAGGACTTGAGAAACTTCAAGTCGCTTCTAGTGTGGGAGAGAATTGGCTGTCTGTAAGGACACCCAACAGACCTCACAACCTCTGAGGATTTTATTTTCCTTTGACAGGAGCGACTTGATAAACTGCAAGTCGCTTTTGGTGTGGGAGAGAATTGGCTGTCTGTAAGGACAACCAACAGACCTCACAACCTCTGAGGATTTTCTTTCAGTATCAGGAGCGTGTGTGAGAGAATTGGCTGTCTGTAAGGACACCCAACAGACCTCACATCCTCTGAGGATTTTCCTTCAGTATCAGGAGCGACTTGAGAAAATGCAAGTCGCTTTTGGTGTGGGAGAGAATTGGTTCTCTGTAAGGACACCCTTGCTTTCTATCATCAGGTCTTGATCCCAAGGCAGGTAGGCGTGAACCCATTCTACAGACATATAAACCCAATTTTCCTAGTTTCCAACAGACCTCACAACCTCTGAGGATTTTCTTTCAGTGTCAGGAGCAACTTGAGAAACGGCAAGTCGCTTCTGGTGTGTGAGAAAATTGGCCATCTATAAGGACACCCTTGCTTTCTACCATCAGGTCTTGCTCCCA